AGGAATGAGCGAAGCTCTGCGACCTCTCGGATGCTCCATCTGTTTGATGTCTTCGATATTGGCGAGATCTGGGCACTTACCATGTTTGTCTATGACAAACCCGATGAATTTAACACTATCTGACATGAACTCACATTTCTCAGCCCGTAATCGAAATCTAGCTTCTTCAAAACGTGAAAGCACTCTTTTCACTGTGTGCATCAAGTCTTGCGGGTCTGCGACCATAATCAATGCATCATCCAGGTAGGCCGCGGTATTAGGAATATCCTTCAGCAGGGTATCCATAATTTGCTGGAAAATGGACGGTGCAACTTTCACCCCAAACAGCAGCCGGTTTACTGGAAAAGCCCTAGGTGCGTAATAACCGTTAGTAATGTTCTGCACTCGTCGGAAACTGGAACTTGCAAGTAAGCGTCAGCTAGGTCAAGTTTTGCGGAGCATTTGCCACTGTCGAGTTTCGAGAACAAGTCTTCTGGTACAGGCAATGGGTACTGATGCGTTTTCAGCGCAGAATTCAGTCCTTTTGAAAATCGGCACAGATACGGACCTTACCGTTTTAGTACTTAACCACCACAATCGGTGTCGCCCATTCTAAATAGTGGTCCCGTTCGACTATACCTTCGGATTGTAAAACGATTTACCTCGGCTTTCACTAGAGATTTAGTTGCGTACGACACTGGGCGCCTCGGTTTGAAGACTGATCTGGCATCTGATTTGTGGTTCAACTCCGCCCTGGCTACGCGACAGCATCCGAGACCTGATTTGAATAACGTTTAATGGCGTCGCTTCAGATCTGCAATTCAAGGTTCATCCTTGACATCTGCATAGTTTGCTTGATTTGCAACCTGCTGGCATATACTGTTTGCCGACTGGTCAGCAAGTTCAACCCGTCCATCCAATCGAGTCCCAGCAAATCTAACCCTAGCTGGTCTATCACAAAGCACGTTATGTGCATTTGTTGGCCTCGGAAAATCAGTTGGCATTTCAATTCACCAAGCAGTTTTAACGTACCACCTGAATCATTCCTTGCCGTATGGGTCGTTTGTACGGGTGTCAGACGCCCCAACCTGCATGACGTGTCGCTAGAGCTCAGAGTGATATCTGAAGCCGTATCAAGTGGTGACTTGCCTGCCATGGATTTCCACCATGGTGTACTTACGCCCGTTGACGCCATCAACCTTGAAGTCGCATTGGTGGTTCTGATCCCATCGGGCCGACTGAACCGTGTGGCATTTTTGCTCTTCTTTCTGGACAGAGTAGGACCACGTACCAAACGCCATTCTTTGGCATCTGCCGCATCGGTTGCAAATGTAATTCCTAAATGGACAGTGTCGAGCAAAATTCCGTTCTCTACAAAACCAACAAGGAGAGGTTTGGAATGTGATGAACTCCCGTGTGTTGGTGCTTTTTGGGGAGTCCGGCTGACTGTACAAATGTGGTCATGGTCATTGGCATTAATCAACTGCTATATTGATGTATCATGCTTCAGATTCGTCATTCTCTGGCACTCACCGGTCACTTGCTGCAACCTGATGCCAGGATTCTGCTCAATCTTGCTGTATTCTTGCTCGTATGTCCGCATCTTTGGCTGCTTGTAGGCCGCAAATGTAAATGAGGCATTTGTACTGGTCGGCGCTTATTTTGTGAAACTGTGGACGTTTGCACTCATGGTTTACACGGCTCGAGTAGGTGGCCCAATCTTCGTCTTCTTTCTTGACGATCGTGAGGCACTGGTACCGGATGCTGGACAAGGATGTCTGCTCATCGAAAATTTGTGACAGGACTAAGACAACTTCGTCCAGGAATAGGTCAGTGCTCTTCTTTGGCAAGATGAAATTTGTAAACTTTTCATGTTCATCAGAAAGATAAACTAGCGAACAAGCTTGTTTTCAGGGCTTCATCATCAGACTAATACAACCACGGTAAAGCAAGCTAGAATAGACACAATGGGTTTAAATTCGGTGAGTCACATGAAATCGCGAGTACAAAAGCTCAGACCGGGTTCCTCGGAGAAGCTGATGATATCGTCACCATTTAGGGGTGACGGGATGGCGGAACGGACCACTTGAAGACTTTCCTTGGTAACTGAGAACGTATTTTGCCGCTAATCTGCACGTAATCTTCACCTCAACGCCGATTGTGTGCCAACAACTTAAAGACAGGATACCTCGGTCGCAGACTTCCTTCCGTGTGTACAATTTCTCTTGCTCGTGTCGAGCAAGGTATATTGGAAAATCGACCAGGCGATTGTCCGTTAGGGCTCGAGATCATTGCCCAGCTTGGTTATACAGCGCTGCGAGGAAGACTGCAACGTGTGCAGTATTGTCGCACCTAGTAGACTCCGACCATCAAATCAACTCGTATGACGCATTCACGCCGATCTACTGTCCCCGGACGTCACACACGGGCAGTCAGATGCCGCCTGCTGTCGGCAGCAGAGGCGATCGCAATTCGGCTCTATAAGCCGAACCTATGTGCACAGAAAATCTCGTCCATACTTTAACCCTGCCTTCGCCTCAGACCAACGTGACTAACAATGGCAGTCACGCCACTCTACCTGACTTCACCTCAACCAGACCAATCACGTAGACTTATCGATTAGTTACTCTGCTTCAGTGACCGAATTTAAACCCATTGTGTCTATCCTAGCTTGCTTTATTGTGGTTGTATTAGCCTGATGATGAAGCTCTGAAAACAAGCTTGCTCGCTACTTTTTGTTTCTGATGTCGTCTGCGGAAAGTATTTTTCAATTTTCTTGTTCAGCCCTACCCAGCTTCCGGAGCATCAGGCGAATTTTCTTCTCTTCTGGTACATTTGCGAAATCAACACGAAACATGTTTTCATACTTGTGAAACCAGGAAACGAATGTCATCATAATGGAATAAACTGATCTGCTGTGTCAGAATTTCTGGAAAGTGAACACTTTCACTTGCCCCTAATCCAGGGTTGGACTGTATCGACAGCTTCTGCGTCAACATCTCAATGAGCTTGGTCTGCTGCTACAAAATTGCCTGTAATTGTTCGAAGCTGGCTGCCTTTTCTGGGTTCGATTGAAACTCGCGTCGCCACCATCGTACTGCTTCTTTGCTGCCCTATGAGACTGCGACTGTCTGCCTTTTCAGTCACGCACGCCCATGAGCTTTGCACCGTGTTGTGTACGTGAACCGCTGCATCGGCGTGGATTACAAGTTTCACAGATCTGTTGCTTCTCCGCACCGTGCTAACGGAAAACAGCCTCATCGGTAAAAAGAATTGAATGGATGTCCATGGCACTCAAAAACCTGCGGCAAAAATGAAGCCGCTTCTCCGAATCACATGGGTTTAAAACCTTTGGGTCCAGCCCATTGGCGAATTCGGTGGGAGCTAGGTGACGCAGTGTGAACCTTTGTGCTGGCTTGCCGAACAGCTTCCTCGTGGTGCCAGCTGGGTGGTTTGGGATTTTCCCATTCCAGCAAATGGTTCGGCGGCAGTGTTCCAGGACGTGGTGGGTTTTCTCCTGGCAAGCCTTCTCCATATAATAAGCCACGTATGTCCGTTTAACAACACTGTGACGTGGCGGACGTGACTCGCCACTAAATAAAGTCACTGCTCCTTGCTTCGTCCTGGCGAAGCATTGTATTCCAGCAACTTTGTGCTGTAATTCTGGGGAGCATTGGGTTCCTGTTTGACAAAGGAACAAACGAAAGGCGTATGAACTGAGCAATCAGTCACTGGCTCCCATTGGGCGCAATTCCCTGAATTCGCTCCGCTGCATTGCGGGCAGGCTATTCAGCCAAAGGCTCAGGGTGTTGTTTTCTAAGTCAACACCCTATTTCGGCTTGGGCAACCGGGTAGTATCTCGCCCTGTGACGAAACCATGGACTTTAATGTGTGTTGTTTTCTTTTACAATTTCTGTACCTTCTTTTGTGTTACATGGTTTCTGATAGCTCTGTGTCTATCCATAGACTGTTTAAAAATTATATTGTGCTGGAAAGCAGTGGTGCTAAGGTATAGGTTGTGGTCGGCGGACAGTTGCAGGAATCGATCACCGTTGTTGGATCGACCTCGAAGCGGCCTCCAACGTGTTGTTCACAGTCGGAAAGGCGACCAACTTGGGCATTTAAGTCACCAGGAACAATCGCGATGTCAGTATTCTCACCATACGGTGAAGAGATGAAAGCCGGTGATGAAAATCGTCCTTGTTGCCCTCCGAACTGCCTTCGGTAGGAGCATAAACAGTGTGGACGAAAAGGCAAATTGTCTTCAGACGATGTGTATTAACTTCGGGGAACGCTCCAAGTTAGACTACACACAGGCGACTGTTCACCGGCATCCAATCGAGTTGATTGTTTCCAGCATGTTTATTTTGGGCGATACAAAAGCCGTACATACCTTGAGCTGTTAACACGGTATCGCCAGGGTTACTAAGAATGTAGTCATTGCAAATAGAAATTGGATGTTGTCCGTCCAAAACACTGCACTGTTTTCGGGCGGGCAACACCCGATTTATATTTGCAACAGCTACAGTCCTCGTGATCGAAAGACCAAGGGTCACTTCAATGGGAATCGCGGTCAACATTGAGATTGCGCCTCGCAATCCATCCACACAACGTGTACTTCAAAATGACCCTCAACAATGTAGTCATTGCTTTATCCCAGAGTGGCTGATGGACCCCCACGCGACGTTTTTTAGTGTACCTGTGTGCACAAACAAGGCGCGGCGTTGTAAACGCTCACTGAACTCGCGTAGGATGTAAGCAGTCCATCCCAACTGGCGCGGTAGCACAAGGTCACAGGGGAGGAGATCCGTCTGATAATGTAATAGATGTAGACAGCAACTTATGACACCAGAGCCCTCTCATGAAACGTTTATTTTAAGCCTGTTTGCGTGTCACATCCATACCATTTACTTGTCAGCCGACTCACAACTTGCTCTTGTTTTCATAGAATAAGATGAATTGCACTCGTAAGTCATCAGTTTGTTTGGTTGCTCATGTGCCCGGGGTTATTCTTTTTGCAGCTTATCGACGAAATGCTTGACATTGAAAAAACCCCGGCTAAACCGCAATATTATATGGCTGCTGGTGAGTCGCTTTTTAATTTCGTGTGTCAAGACCGCTATCATTCAGACTTTCCTTTGTTGCTAACAGGAGCACAGTATCCCGACGGTGCTGTAAAGTGGCAGACGAGCGAAGGTAACTGCGGGTGATTTTCTACTGTAACACGTTCGATAGCTGCTGGACTGAATCTCATCAAACACTTCCAGACACTCTGGGCTGACCATACGATTCGGTAAGCACACTATGGGAGGTAATTCACTATTTCATTATGCATCTAGAGCCGCAACAGTAAAGACAATGTTAGATCACGTGGAGAGTAAGTTTACATTCCCGTTTCATGTAAAGTCACGCTTTTGGAAACTTCCTCTTTTATCGATGCAGTTCCCGAAGGAAGTTACAGACTAAGGCCAAGCGGATAGCCATTGCTCTAGCAACTTACCTGGTCTAGTAAACGGTTTGGAATTACTGTGCCTTCACATCGAGTGCCAAGCGTTTAGCGGTTCCCGAGAAGTTGCACACAACCGCTGACTCGTTCAGATAAATCACCAAACCGATTAAACGGCTTTCAAGGTTCGAAAAGGCTTGATCATCCCTTGCCACTGTGCTTCTTTAAGACGACCCTCTTCCGGTTAACTGCTGCTGGATAAATTATGTCCTTATCCACCGATACACTTACGAAGCGCCTATCGGTCGTCTGGATACTGTCGCTCAAGTTCACCTACACGTCCTCTTGATTGGCATTACAGGCGGTGCGATTAGCTTACTAAATTGATTAAAGCTGCTAAAAACGACTCGAGGATGTTACATGTCTTTATGTTATTAGAATCGCCAATTCGGATTCGATTGATAAGGATTTCTCATCCCTCTTTCCAAAGCACGGTCGTACGACGAAATGGCATAGCAATACAACAGTCTTCGTTCAACTATAGTAGCATTTTCCGAACCGAATCTAAATGGAATCACCCCGCGTGTATGTACAATAATCAAGCTCAGAGACAAGTGCGATGCAGACAGCTTTTGCACCACGCCCCCGGCAGATCACCCGATTGATCTACACGCTTAGCCATTTCTACCGGATAATGTCTTATAATCAAAACAATTCAACTGATTTCACTCAGAATAGTTTCTACTTAAAACTACCATTTTGCCTATAGTTACAAAAGCACTTCACTAGGCCTATCGCGACGAGACTATACTTTAACGCGGTGCGATGGTTTATGTGCCTTAACGATCCATTGGGCTATGCTGGGTGGTGCTTTTGCAACTTCGGAGCCACTCATACCAGATTATCAATGGGTACAGACTTGACAAACTCAGTCTCCTGGCCCTCCAGGCTAAGGGTTGAAGTGAGGATCACTCCTTACTTCATAAAACGGACTCAAGGTAGCCCATTGCCAAAACACCGCCGCGTTGCGGTCAGGATTTTTAGATCAAAGGTTTAGATTGAGAACTCCAATCGTTCTCCTGCCTAGATTGGGGCAACCAAACAGTGTCCTGCCCACGCAGTACAGCTCGATGACTCTCCCTTCAAACAATTTCTTGATGTTCCGACCGTCTGCTGCATCGAGCAGGGGGGAGAGGAATTTGGATGCTACTGCGCTAGCCTTCCCGTCTTCTTTCCTTTCTTGCGCTCTCATTCTTATCGTCCACTTCCAACTTCACTTTAATCCCCCTATTCTCAAACACCCAATTCTTGATCCTCCCATCTTGGTTCAGTAATCGTTTATCTTCTAGTTTCGACTCACACAATCGCAGGGCGTAGCTCCGGTTCAGTTGACAAGTCCATGTCCAGCTAAAAGGATAACGTCAGTCCATCTACTCCTGTTTGGAGCCCCTCAATCCTCCCTAAGACTGGCATGCCTCAAGGTGCACACTTTTTTCCAGATTGGCCAACAGGCGGCACTTGATCGAACACTGGAGACCCTATCAATAGATATCCGCTGTTTATCAGTAACTCGCCTGCAAGATTCTAATTCTGAGATTATACTGCTATCCCCAAAGTGCGACACTGGCGGTATTTTCTCATTGCTCTTTTCCGGGGATGACGCGGCTTCAAATGCCAGTCAAGCCGTTGTGGGCATTGTTCTTAGCCCCCGGGCTGAAGCTGCCTGATCGATTGGATGTCAGTGAACAGCCGGATGTGCGGTGTCGAATTTGTTTCCTCGTCCAAAGCATCGAAGTCGCGTGGGGACGAACGACCTATGCGCCCACAAATTGTAGCACTAACGATGAAAGACGACTTCTATCACTCATTGAACGCGTTCTCCCGTTGCAGAAAAGGTACAGATACTGTGGTGCTGGCTGGTGGCCAAAAAATTACAAGCCTTTAGGTCACCGGTTCGAATCCGCATAGGGGCGGGCGTCCTCGCAGTATACTCAGGCCGCGCGTGACCGATGTTAGTCGTGTGGCACCGAAGCGTCGGTACCGTGTGCCAGCGTACCGCTCGATGACTTACTGCCGGTGATTTGGACGACCAAGTTGGAAAACTGTCCGTTGATAAGTAAATCGTTGAAAGTAAATCGATCATATCGCGATTGCTGGAGAGGCTGCGTTCAAAACTACCGCTTGATTTAGACTACGTGCGTGGACTCTGACCACGCACTTGTTTGCCTTGACCAGGTGCGTTTCTGCGGACGTCCGCAACAGCACTGTGAGATGCCAACTGGTGGAGTCAGATGTTCTGAATGCGTATCAAAATACACTGGCATCCGAGCTGGGTAAGCGCTCACTGAACACATTAGATGATCACTGGTCGCTTATCCCCCAGACGTTATTAACAGCACTCATGTCTTCATGTGGCAAATCAAATCGTCAGCCTGAACATTGGGTCTCTACAGTCTCTGAAACTTCTGGATGCTCACCGACGTGTGCCGTCTGGAAGCGAATACAATGAGACTCGCAAAAATCTCAAGGCAAAATTGCATGCTAGCCTGAGGAGAGACCGCGAAGCGTGGTGGTCTCATCGTGCCTCGGAGATGGAAACAGCCGCTGCCCTTGGTAACTGTTAGGAGGGCTGACTGCAAACGAATTCATTCCGTTTGCTGACACTTATGTTCATTAACTATAACTATATTTTCCTCCATTTCAATTCGTCACTGATTCTGTCCTTGACTGTGACGATCTTTCCTTTCCACTGTACTACGCTGAATCTCTCTGGACCTTATCATCCGTAGATACATCTTCCATCAATGCTTATCTTCTCATCTTCCGTGTGTTGACAGTGGTTGACTCAAGGACACCAAGTACAGAACACTGGCGACGTAGTCCTAAAAAGAATCCAATTGTCATTTTCAGCTGAGGATTAGGGAGCAATCTTCCAGCAACAACAAACACAGTTCGAGCAATCTCAATTGCGACTTATTCAAACTTGTTCATTCCCTCTCACGCCAGCCAACAGTTCCATCAACAAGTAACAGCTTGGTATCATCTGCCGATGCCTTTGAAGCTTCTATCTCAGAATTATACTACGCGCCTACATGCGGTCTTACTTTCGATTCGTGGTACAAGCGATGGAAGGATACATTTGTGAATGAGTTTATTGATAAATATGTCTCGTGGAAATCCGCTCTTAATCCGGAAACTTAGAATCGTCGAACACGATTGTTGCGTTCACTTCATTCTTCCGGAGCAATCCAAATATCTAGATTTTGTACACACACTGGAACGGCTGCGCGAGATTTTCAGCGATCAGCTTTCGATTTTCAACATCCGGTACAACTGGCTGAAGTTGGCGAAGCGTGATGCAGACGATTACGTCATTTGTGCTGGCATCGTAAGCTATGAGTGCGAAAGATCAATTTAAATGTTTGATTTTTGTTTCTGGTCTTCCTCCCCCCAAGAGTCGGACCTCCGCACTCGACTGCTTTCCAAACACCAACCGGATATCACTGTAAAATCTCTCACCATTGAATGTCAACATCTGCTCAGTCTTAAGCACGATACCGCCATGGTCCAAAAATCAGGAGCACCAGCTTTAAGCAGCATTTATGCATTGACGCGAACAATTGTCCAGCCCAACAGAAAGCCACTAATTCCCTGTTGGTCATGTGGCGAATGGCACTATGGTCGCTTTTGTGTTTTCAAGAAACAGTGCCAGAAATGTCAACGAGGGGCCACAAGGAATACTTCTGTCGTTCCATAAATGTCCAGAAATCAACCATTCAAAGGAGCGTCCACAGTTCAGCTAGCGAAATGTCCGGAACGCAACAATACCGGAAACCTCAGTCATATTCTGTTTGCAACTTTCAAAGTCGATTTAGAATCCAAAAGAAAGTACCTATCACTTTCCGTCAACAACATCCCAGTCCTTTTTCAGTTTGACGCAGCTTCTAACCTTACGCTGATCTCGCGTCCTACCTGGGAGTTGATCGGTAAACCTGCATTATGAATAACTATTAGCGGTACTTTACAGCTGACTAAAGAACTCATATGTGATGTGTCGTTCAACAATGTGCAGTTCCCAGAAACGTGCTATATCACTGACTGTCCCATTCTAAACTTGTTTGGACTTGATGGATTGAAAAACAGGCCCATCGACGTCCCGCTTTCATTTTTTATGCAAAAGTACACAGTTGTCCTTAACTCCACAGATTGCACAGCGAATTACAGATGAGCTCAGAGATGGGATTAAACCGGAATTTATCGAAACGTTGCTGTTACAGATCAACGCCAAATGGAAACTCATCGGCAGAGGCTTTTGTGAATCGAAAGCTACGCATACCTGTTGATGTCATTCGTCTAGCCTTACGTCTATTGATCAACCCAAACATTAGCATGAAGAACCAATGCAACCGGTATCACGGTGTCGTGAATTGCACGTGGTCAATCTGTGTTAGCTAGAGATTATGGTGATGGTGACGGGAAGTGGAGGCGAGGTCCGATTGTACGCCGCACGAGTCAGGTTATCTATGAAGTGGATGTACACTCCTTACTGGGTCCACCATGCCAACCAGTTGCGTTCGTTTCTCTGCCAAACAACAATGCCTCTCGACCCTGCTTTTCCTAATGACATTCCCCCGGATATTTTTGTGCTCTTGCCGAGGTTCATGCCTCCGGATGGGGTCACCAAGTCAGTCCATACAGTCGATTACACACATGGAAGATGGACTGATCGAATCAGACGGAAGCGTGTGCCTATGCAGCGGAGTCCACGACAGCAATCATACGAACATCCAGTCCCAAGGGGAGTTGTTATGAGGGATGTTTCCAAACGAATTCATTCCCTTTGTTGATACTTATGTACCTTAGCTACAACAATACATTTCTCCATTACAGCTCGCCACTGATCCTATCCTGGACTGTGACGCTCTTCCCTT